CAGATTTCTCTATGTGAAAGAAATTCAGTAAATAATAGTATAGACTTTTTTTATTTATTTGATTAAATCTAAACTTTCACGGCGAGATCATCTTCTAATGTAAGGGAAATCCGATGTTGCCTTTGAACTTCTTAATTCTTTAACGCGTGAGACCGAATTAAAGTTGAATTTTACAGTAATTCGGGCGAAGATGTAGATGCTCCAAAAATGGTGGAGTGAATTAATCTAATTGATATCGATTTGGGAATTTTTTTTTGTTATTCAATGCCAATCTTGACGTATCGTCGACACGCGTGCACGCGGATGTAGCTTTGCGTTGGAATGACCGGAATCGAAGCTGACGCTTGTCCATCGCGCGACTGACGTGCGGCGGCGGAATGTCGATGGAACACGAACGGCAAGAAATGCTTGTAATGTCGTGAATCATTAATTAGTATAACAAGAGTTGCCTTAATATTACATTTTCACAAAACTAGGATACGCGAAACGTGAAGAAAATTAGAGGAGACATTAGAGAACAATTGAGGCTCCCTCTCAGGGTCGTGTCGTGAAGATCTTCGGGTCGCGTTAGTTTACGTCGTGCACTCGATGAGAATGCGAGGAGGTAGCTGGGCGCAGGTCGCAAAACAATAAATCGATTTATTAATTCGCACGGTTGTTAAACGACAGAAAAAAATGTTAAATTCAAGTAAATAATTACTCCGATACACCTTAGCAAATTTTTATTTAGATTAAGTAAATTTTATTTGAATCAGGGAAATATATATGTATTTTACTTGAATAATTTACTAGGAAAATATTTTACTTGGATCAAGTAGTGTTTACTTGATCCAAGTAAAAATTTGCTATGGAGTATTGGACTAATTATGTAATTGAACGTTTTTGCTATGTACGAATTCCTGAATTACAATTAATGGATGAGATTTGTTTTTCTGCCGCTTGAATCACTTCTACATCGGGAGCTTGAAATTGCCATTCTAACGTTTACTCTTCAATTGTAGAAAAATCTTTCAGACTTCTGGTATCTTATTCGACCCTGTTGCTGAATATAAAACTAATTGTCCAGCTCCGTCCGAACGAGATCATCGCACCTCTTCGCGACATCGTCGTCGTCGTTTCACGAACGATCATTAGAAATCAAAAGAACAGATCGGGAAAACGAAACGAAATGAGGAAACGTGAGAGAACGAGGAAGAGCAGGGGAGAACGCGAAGAGACGGAAACCCAGAACAAATTGACGAGGCGGCAAACGATCAGCCATGACTGGCTGTGTTCTGTGTGTATGCGTGTATGCTTACGTGTGCGTGTGTGGTATGTGTGTGTGTGTCACGCGCGGAATTTTCAACGAATACATACGTGAGCGATTAGACTAAAGGCGAAGATGAACGAAGAAGAAGAAGGGGATAAAATAGTACGTGGCGTCGCTGCATGTCCGCGAGAGAGAGGTTCGTCTCTCGCGTCTCGCAACTAACGCCAAAAGCGACCGTTTGTCTTGCATCACGATAGCTCTTGAGTATCTCCAACCCAGCCAGAAGTGAAAAGTCGAATCGATGTCAACTATAGTATTTGGCCATTCATCGACGCATCGACGTCGAATCGATGTCAATTTAACGTTGCGGTTCTAACTGGGAAAACGGGGGTAAAAATAGAAATCAGGAGAAGGGGAATGAGAAAAAAGAGGGAGATCGATTTACCGAACACTCGCAAAGAACGTCCGTGAATAAAAATCGATCCCATCGCGCGCGCTCCCATTTGGAATTCAAACGCGAGACGCGAGAGCGCGAGCCGAGAGCCCGCAAGGCGTTTCGTGACTTTGATAACCACGTGCCGTTGTTACAAGCATTATGTAAAAAGACCGAAAAATGTGAAAAAAATCTCATCGAAAGCTTTAACTTTGAATAAACTAACTTTAAAAGGGGGTTCGCGCGCGAGAAAGAGAGAAGAAAAAGAGAGACAGAGGGTGAGAAGGCGCAAGTTCACCGTATGCGCGCGAACGCGGAAGCACGGCGGGCATGAGCGCGATCTCGCTCGAATTTCGACCGTTTCTTCGCCCTCTCCCCGTCACGTCGCTCTTTTCCGATCGTGCACATGCCAGAGGGTGAAAGGTTGCGACACTTGTTTACCTCGAGAAGTTCCCTAACGCATTCAATAGGAAAATGCATCTCCCGGGAACGGCTGAGAAACGAACTCAAACCGATAAACACCAACCAAGAGTAAAATTTCATCAATGTTGCATCATTTTTCACTCAACGTTGTAATTGTTACATGTAATATGTGTAATGTACGTAACTGTTACATTGTTGAATGGGAAATTGTAACATGATGTAATGTTTCCGTTTATTGTTTACTAGGTGTCGATTGCGGGACTCGTCGAGGTAAGACTGTTGCAAGACTTACCACATAGAAATACGGAACAGACGCAAATATTTAATGTATGCTTTGTGTTGCAACAGCACATGTTCGAAATATGCTAATTTTAAGAGGTACTCATTTATTATGCCATAAGTTAAATTAAAATATTGTCTTCTTATTACTGCAAAAATTAATCCTCCGTTAGTCGCAAATGTATTTAATAAATGCGTTCAGGCTACAATGTATTTGTTTTCTTTATTCTTTACTGTTTCTTACGTACTTCAGTGCTTGGTCTACTAGCCAAGTGCTAATGGAAGAAAAATTGTTTCAGGAAGCGGAGGAAAATAATAGGAAAATTGGTATATTTGCGAAATATATTGCAACCATTCATGAATAAAAAATATTGCGACTAACGGAGGGTTAATTGCGTTTCCTTTCCAGCAAAATAAACAGCAATATTTATGGCATCATATTATCGTCGCAATATTGTCGCAATTTTCACGGCATCAGATGATCTTCTTTTATATACTAACAAAATGTTTGTCGCATAAAAACGCATCTTAACGTACTTAGTCGCGATGCAGACAATATACCGAAATATGTTTATCCGGGCTTCATCCTCTGACGGTACGAGCGAGTTCGTGGATGTTTTCGTGGCAAGAAATCTATTTGCGGGTCGGGAAATTGGGCGACGTGGAAAGTATTCGCAAGATTCGGGGATCACGAGCGACGTCCCGTCGTGCTTCCTGTGTTACATTGTAAAAACTTATTGTATATTACTTATACATACATGTAGAAACGTATACATACACGCGAGGGACACGCTAAACACTTGTTTTTTCTCTAAAAAGGGATCGAGAGAGCGAAGAGATATTGTACCTTTATACATAATAATAATAATAATAATAATAATTCTTGTGCGCTCGCGCGCGTCACGCTGAGCTCGAGGCGCGATCCGGCCGATCGCGAAGAGATCGAGGAACCGTCGGAACACGTCTCTCTTCCCACCCGCGGGGTGTCTCTTCTTCTTAAAGCCCGTCGTGTTCCTCGAACACGCGAGAAGCGATCTCCCTTCAGAGAATCACGGATTTTTCGACGAGCTTCGGATTCGGAAATTTCACGACGCGCTTGACGGGGCGTAATTCACCGCGCTCGAAACGTCGAATGTTATTTATTTATCTCGAGCGATATCGAGTGGAGCAACAAACAGACGACGTCAGCTGTTCCCCTCGAGTAAGTTCTTCGAGAATAGACATCGCGACCTGGCGAAGTTTTCGCTCCGGAACGAATCAACGAAGTTGCCTGTCGCGAAAGATTGGAAGTTCGCAGACTCCCGGGAAATCCTCGCCTCGTGGAGTTGCCGGCCACGCGTAAAGCCGCCGAGGAATCCGTGCCAACGGTGTCGCGCGAGGCGTATCTCGGTATTCCGGATTGCGTTCGAGTGTTTGCTAATTAGTCCACCGTCGGAGGGTGATTGTATGCTACCTGTTGTGTCTCGGAACGGAAGTCCACGTGACGACGCGCGCGCGCCACGACTGTGTGTTATTTCTCTTCTTCAGGAAAAATAAGTATGCCGCGCACGTGGAACGTAATCTGCCAGTGTGATCCACGTGTTGTGCCGCGAGAACGAGAGGGAGTGTGTGGCAGAGAGGGAAAGAGCGAGAAAACGCGTGTGCGAAAATATTTAACGTAATTCTTTAGCCCTCGAAAATACCGGCGTTTGGCAAGTGAAGAGTGTGAATTGGGACGAGGGGGGGGAGGGGGCGAACGAAAGAGGAGGGTGTGAGAGGAAGAGAGAAAGAGAGAGGGAGAGAGTGTGTATGCGTGTGAAAGAGAGAGAAAGAGTTAACGAGGAGAATACGAAGACGTAAATATGCATTATTACTGATGTATTATGCTGTAAACGAGAGAAAAGCAAAGAACCTACCTTATATATAAATATTATATATATACATAGCTAGTTTAATTTGCAACTTAGTGTGTATCGTCGCTTCGAAAAACAATGCCCAGTCATTACTCGCCAGAATCCAAGTGAGGTAACCAGAAGACCGATTTCAAGTTCATTCTTTTTTTAAGGAAAAAAACCAAATAAAATAATGTGTTAAAATATTTCGCACGAACGAGTTTTCATTCCGACCGGTCTTGCCCGAGATTTCGTCTCCCCCGCTAAAATTATTCATTTGCATTTCTCCATTTTTTTATATAATTGAACATTTTTAATATTACATTTTCAACTAACAGTTTAAAATTCATAAAATATTGCGTCGAAATGTTTATAAAATCCACATAAAACAAACGTTTCAAAAGATTAATTTAAAGTTTCTCGCTCATTGGGAATACAAGAGGAATGTTGTTTTATTTTATGCATTGATGTGAAAAACATGAACGCAACCTATTCGTGCATGAAAACATGACCGTCGAAAACAACAAATTTTACTACCAACAAGTTACCGTCTTACCGTAATTCTATCATAAGTATCGTCATTTTGAACCTGATGGTAATATTACATCTCTAATACTGGCAGTAGATAATATCCGCGCGTTATGCGTCCATGTGCTCGAATTGATCCGAACGTCACTGCGAACATCAAGATTTGACTTGAACCTTTCTAACGAGAGTCGCTATTTTATGGTGTCGAGGAAATGTTATGACGGAGGAAATTGCGATAAATAAAAGCCCGATGGGAATGACAGATTCGCAACGACGTTCCGCAGAAAATTTGCCCCCCAGGTTCGCCGCGACGATGTGAACCTGGCTTTACGACATCATCGCATGACGCGTACTAACGTGTGTACACGTGCGACCATGTATGGTAAACGCGGTGCGTTAATCGTCCTGGAGGGTTGCGACCGAGCCGGCAAGTCGACCCAGGCGAAGATGTTGACGAAAGCTTTGAACGAGAGGTCGATTCTCGCGAAAGCGCACGCTTTCCCAAGTAAGCGACGAATAACTTGACCACCTGTTATATATTAGGTTATGTTACTTTGCGCGGGAGACAACTTCCGGATACTTAATCAGTGATCTGCAAATTCGCTACTTATGAAGTATAATCGATATCGTTGTCCTTGCGGAAGAGCAATCATAATTCAAGTTGTCTCCCTTCATGTCGCGTTGCTGCTTTTGTGTTGCAAACTCGATAAGTTATGTCATTCGATTTAAAAATGACAGCCGGTGAACTCGATATAAGTAGATTGGAAGTACCTAAAGAACACCAACTAACAGTATTGCAACATCGACGTTACATTAAGTTGGTATTTGCTGAATAATAAATTTCCCTTTCCGTGATTGTTGGAAATATCCAAATAAAAGTGGAATCTCGGAGACAGTACAGAAATAATATCTAAGATCAATGAAATGATTAAGAAGGGACGACGGGAAGAACGGGATAGAAGGATTTTCATGTAAATACTAACAAATATGTTACACTTTCTTGCAGACAGAAACACACCCGTTGGAGGTTTGCTAAATGGTTTCCTGTCGAAAGAGATAAATATTCCGCCCGAGGCAGCTCACTTGTTATTCTCAGCCAATCGGTGGGAGTGTAAGGAAGACATGGAGAAGACGCTCTTGTCCGGTATTACTCTGGTGGTGGACAGGTACGCGAGTTCCGGGACTGCGTACACGGCAGCCAACACGGGCAGAAGCCTAAATTGGTGCAAACAGCCGGACTTGGGACTGCCAAAGCCAGACTGTGTGGTGCTTCTCAAGGTGTCGAAGCACCAGCAAGAGCTGCGTAACAACTGGGGTAAGGAAAGATTCGAGAAGGACGATTTTCAGGCGTGCGTCAACGCTAATTACGAACAATTGAAGGATGACACGTGGATCACAGTGGACGCTGACCAGGATATGTCGGCGATACACGACGAGATACTAAAGAAAGCACTATCGGTCATCAAAGAGGCCCAATTTCGAAGAATAGAACCGCTAAGCAGTTAAAAGTGTAGACGAATTTGTACTTTTCTACTTTCCTGATGTACTGCACATTCCTGCCATTGGAAACAGGTCGTTATTATATTTATACGTGATATTTTCTCCGCTGCCTCCGATGATGCCGTTACTTCCTCGTAGAAACGGCTTTGAAATCTCGGTCAAGAATCTCCAGACTTCGTTCTTATCCACGAAATAAGCTTAAGCCACATCCTGTTTGAGGGGACAATATACGCAAATATTGATTAAAAGTGAAAAGATCAGGATTGATGTAAAAAATTGTTGAAGGGAATTGTTGGGAACTGCTGAACATTTTATGTGAGAAAAGTTACATGAATATAAGTAAATAAAAAAATCTGTTTATTTTATAAACAATACTATCATATATTAAATAACGTTAACTCGTCAGTAAAAATAATAATGGCTCGTAGTGAAGATTTTACTACAGAGATATATATATATATATATATATATGTGTGTGTTGTTTATCTAAGACTCAAACCTTACTTAGCCAAGATTCAAACCCATTGAGCATAAAGGATTTTTATTGTCACTGCTAGGTAACACTACAATCCCGACCAATATCTTTATTTCATTTAATTATTCTTCTTTATATATTTATCTTCAATTATTTTAACAAGTATATGAACACTTGACGTCAACACATATATTATATAACACATTTTTATAAATAAAATGGACTCGATTAACGATCATTTTCAAGCTTAGTGATTAAGTATACAGTTTATTGCATGACACTATATCGTGTTATGTAGTTGCGTGGTCAGTCACAAGAAGGTTGCAACACAAGGTTGTATCCAATAAGAGAATTTGTTTTTTATTATTAATATATTTAAAAAATATAGGAAGTTGCGTTCTATAAGATGTTTTTTTTTTTTTTTAAGATATCCCGAGGAGATGATGTTACAAGTTGAAAAATATGAAAACTACTAAAGTCGTCGTAAAATTGTTCCTGCAACCAATTTCATAAAGCGTCCTTGGAATTTCAGGACGTGTCCCCCGGACACGTTTTTGAAACGTCTTAATGTCCTTTCGAGGCGTGGGAATTCGCACACTCACGTCCCGAAAATATTACACGGCACCTACGACGTTCATATCCGCGAACGATAACGTGCTCGGTGTAACGGAAATCGATTATGTTGAGCGCGACGACGGCTGCTAAGGCTGCACGATGATAAATTGCATCTTGCCCGCCGACTGAGACACGTACTGTGCGCAATGATGTCTGCCGCGTTTTGTACAGCTAGGAGCGCATTAAACTGCATGTCTTTATATATAGCCCGGTCCTCTATTCCTGAAGGGGATATTCGTGTATCTTATATCATCAAATTGCGTCAGCCTGATGGCGGTATTGTAAAAATGTCGAGTGGGCCGTGATGAATCTGTGACGAGCCGTATGCTTGGGGCGTCCCGCGAGATCAAACTTTAATTGATGCATCTCAGAACACCTCGTTTAAATATCGTTTCAGCTCTGTGGAATTTATATTTTGATGAATTTAGAAAATATTATGTCGAAATGTTTGTAAAATCTACCTAAAATCAACGTTTCAAAAGATTGACTTAATGTTTTTCGCTTATTGGGAACTTTCCGCCTCTTTAAAATGCCATAGAGATAAAATCACGTCGATGAGGGAATTTGGCCGATGCGCAATCCGGCTAAACGAAATGTCTCATTGTATCGAGTCGCATTGTGGAATATGTTGAAATGTAGGAATGGAGAAAATAAGATCGAAGACTATTATTCTCTATTATCCTTTCAATTGCTTTAGTCTTCCGACACATCCGACGACGTAACGAACGCTTTTGACGTAGAACAATTATTTCCTGAAATTTTCTCGAATAAAATTAAAAATGAAATTATGGCGCAAAACACAATTTTCTGAGCGAAATGGAAACATTCCACATAAAAACGGTAGTTTTTCGCTATTTCGAACAAATTTTTACTTCCTCTTTTCGACCTCATCTTCCGAGATAATCTAAAGCACTGTTCTAACGCAAGATTCCTCCGGCAGCGACTGTAAATTATTACGAGCCTGTGGCGACACGCTATAAATCCTTTAGCATCACTCACACTCGACGAGACGCCAGCGCAGTGTACAAGTCGCATTATTCAAGGACCGTCCGGGAATCGTTCCTTCGAAACCTGCTACGGGTCCACTTCTCCCTTACGAGCGGGAAGGGCGCAACTTTGTTTCACCCCCCATCGTGGAAACGACGATCCTGAGAAATTGCATCCGGCTGGTAGGAGGAGGGGGTACGGGAGCGTAGGCGGGGGGAAGAAATCCGACGGAAAAGCGCGCGATAGAGCTTCCGGCTCGAGTTGATGATTCCGGGATGAACGATGTAATTTTCCGCCGGGCGGGACGATTTTGCGAATCACCGGGAAAACTATTAACCTTCGCTTAGACCGTAAGTCAAGTTCCGTATTGCTCGCTCTGTGCGCCTCCCACTGGTATTTCGAGAGATTACGAAGTTCCGTGCGAAGAACACCGAAAGGTGAATGCGTGTGTCACGTTTCATAAATGGTATCTTCCTTCAATAACAAATTTCTTATATACAAATGTATATACAACTATATAATAAATCAAATAAAAGTATATAAAAAACTCCGATAAAAAATTGTTTATATATAATAATATATAACAGTATAAAATTATATAGAAATATATGAAATTATATATAATTTTCCTTATATAATTCTATAATTTTACACGTTTCGTGTAAAGAAATGAGACAGCATCATACATAATTATATATTAATAATTTTACACGACTCTATACATAATTGTGTCTGATTTCTTGAAACGAGTCATGTAAAATTATATAGGAAATAATCATACAAGGAATTACATATATAATTTTATATATTTCTATATAATTTTACATAGTTATATATATGTTTATATATAATTAAGTATGAGCAATTTTTTTACCGGGATTTCTTTAAATTATATATCTTTCAATAATCTACACCAATTGTCCCGTTACCAATCGTAATTCATAAAAATTGTCTACATGAATGCACAGGTCGACAATCAATGAGAAGGATGTTACATGGAAGATTTAAAAAATGACAATGTACGTCGATACGTATCACTTTAGAAACTTATTCATTATCACACGCGACGATCGAATTGCACTCTCGGCTTCGTGTTTCCTCCGCAGATTGGATTCTCCGTTAGACTCCTGTTAGACTTTCGGCTTCCTCGATGGCTCCTACCGTCTTGCCTGCGATTGCTAAATTGAAAAGAATGACGTTACACTTTCTCCTATACTTACCCGTTCCAATTTATCTTCCATTGTCACGATGTAGAAAGAACGTTCACTCACTCGGATCCTTCCTAATCCTTCCAGGGTCTTATGGTGAAAATACTCGTCTCGTACGGTCGCCTCTGCCACCGTTGCTGCGCGTCTTCATCGGCGGCCGCAGTAGATATGGTTCGTGCTACGTCGGGCGAGCCGAAGACGAACGTCGTCTCGTAGCGCTTCGCCCAATCGGGGTCGGGCCTCGACTTCTTCTGCTCCGGTTCACCGTTGTCGGGGTGATTCAGTGGTTCTTGGACGTCGACGGAGTGCAATCGTCTTCTCTTCGCAGATTGCCGTGAGGAATGGCCGTCTTTTCCGTCCATCGCCGGCGTTGCATCCGAACTCGGTTCGTTCTCTCTTCTCGAGCTCACTCCGGAAACCACCGATGTATTCGGCTCCTCCGAATCAGCGGCGGATGTATCGCTAAATACTTGTTGCGACGTGAAATCGCTCGTGTTCGAGCCGTCAATTCGCCACGAGGACTCCATAGATCGCTGCTCGCCGGCGCTCGAAGCTTCATCGTTTTCACTTCTTGACTCTTGGTAACCAGTGGCGTCATCTGGTTGCAGAACGTGGCCTGCGTTCGATGTAGTCAGATCGAGCTCTTCGACGGTGCTTTGAGCGTTCGTTCGTCGTTTCCCTACCACGTGGACCGTTTCGACACTGATGATCTTCGGACGTTTCGCCGGTGCCGAAGCAACGATATCTTCCTCATTGCTCTTCGACCCCCGAGGAGCTGCGATTGAATTCTCGCTCGCGTTATTTGTCTTTTCGCTCGGTCGATCTTCGTTCAGTTGAGCTTCGTCGCGGGATCTCTTCAGCGAGTCTCTCTTCTTCTTCCGATCGATGCTCACCTTGCCGCGAATTCTCCTTGAGTCTCCGTTCGCTTGCGACTCATCGTGAGTTTTCTCAGTCGGAAACTCTCTCCTCGAATCGAGCTTATCGTCGGCCAAAGTGACGTCTTCTCTGGTTGTTCTCAGGTTGTAATCGTGGCCGGAAGATCGGCGGTGTTCTCGCGTCGTCGGGAGGTCGTCGTCGAACGTAACGAACCTCTGGAAAGACAGCCCAGTCTCCAGCTCTTCCCACGCGTCACAATGGATCTCCAGGAAGCAATCGTCCGTTCTGAAGTGCGTTCGCTGGAAACTGGCGATAATGAGCGCGCGCGGAACTTTCCGCCAGGCCTCCAGCAAGCTCTCCACTACATTCTCAACGTTCCAACGGTGCCCGTGCTCCTTGATTCTCTCCACATACCTGCGACCGAAATATTTCCAATAGTTTCTTACACTCGTCGGGATAATTAAGCCGTCGGGAGCGCTGATGGCTTCCTCGAGGGCTTCGTCTGAATCTCTCCCACGAATGATTCTTCGCGAACGGAAGCGTTCTGGAGCGCAAAAAGCATCGTTCTGGAACGTCCACAGGACCGTTTAACAACGCTATTGCGAGGTAAGTTTATTACCCCCGGGTCGACTGTGTAATTCATAGTCCGATCTTAAATCGAAGATTGTACCAAGTTCATCCTTGATGAAACAGCCCGTGCAGTATCAGAAGATGAACTTAGGACGATTTTTAATATAAGTTTCGACTAATAAATACTGTCCTAATAGAAACTGAACTTTATGGGTGTCTAGTTATAAGGTAATAGACATACAATTTTTGAGTTTCTCGAGTCCCAACTATCTTAACAGTACTTGAATCTCATAGATCTCAATATTTTTGCAGGCCGGCTCGAAGTGGGTTAAGGTCTTTATGGAACAACGTACCTTTAATTTTGACTCGCTATTTTATTTTTCAATAAGATAATGACTAGTGAGTGAATAATCAGTCAATAACAAACTAGTAACGAGCTAGAAAATCTAGCCTGTACCAGCCGGTGATGGCCACAACGCACTTGCTCCGGTAGATCATCTTCACGTAATGGAAGACGTCCCTCTTCAAGGGCCTCAGCGGCGGTGGGAAGTTCTCCGGGAAGAATACATGTTGGACGTTGCTGAGCTCGAGTCCTCGGAAGGCGTTTACTCGATCCCTGTGCAACAGCAGCAGGATCTTCCGTTCGCCGCGGCTCATGCGATCGTTCAGCCGGCTCATCCACTCCCTGAAGAGTCCGTCGCTTATCGAGGCGTCCTCACTGTGAGTGTACACGTGATCCTCGCGCGTTACCACGGCCGGGTAAGTGCCGCAGATTAAGAGCGGCGATTTCTCGGTGCCGGCGGCGTTGCAGCACATCAGCACCGTCGTTCTCCTCAAGGACGCGTCCTGGCGCGTCGTGTGATACATCGCCGACGAGATGCCGGTAGGCGAGATATCGGAGTACATGGTTAATTCGTCCAAGTGGAAGAGATCCTTGTGCTTGTATCGCGTAATGACGGATCGCATCGCGTCGATCCAGAATCGGTAGTTATCGAAGATCGGCCCGGACGAGTCGCTCGGGTCGAGGGAGAAGCCGTGCTTCTTCAGGAAACACGTCAGCCATCTGTCGGAACATTTGAAACCTGGTCGGAAATGCGGAGTGTGAAGAAACTGTCAGTATAATATTAATCCTTTTTAGAGAGTTTAAAAACCTCTCTCCCTAAATACCCGTTATTAAATTAATTAATTAATGCATGCGTCATCATACTGTCGAACATATTTATCCTCCCAAATTAAAAGTGCATTCGCACTTAACAGTCGTGCTTAGCTCTCACTGACCTATCTTAATTTCTAATATTTGACTGAATAAACCTAATATTAAATATTAACTAATATTATTGTCATCATAAGCATTCTCTAGGGAGTCTATGACAGTTTTGTTATGCGCAGTGTGCGCCGAATTTCCGAATACGTCGACTATTCCCAGACCCGATCGACCTGCAAAGCGCGAGCGAGAGACGAGGCTGGCGAATTATCTGTGCAAGGAGTCGGCCCGAAGCGCAAAAAGCATCGTCCCTCGGCTCGACTGTCTTCTCGTGGGCGACGGCATTAACCCCCGAGACGCGTTGTTGCATGCCGAAACCCTTCGAGTTTTCGCACGGAGGATTACATGGATACGTGCCGGTCAGTCCGTGCTCGTCGGCCAATTCCAAGGCCTTGTTACGTAGTAGAGGTCTGTCGAGGGAACAGTCGGTGGCGTGTCGCTCGCAGGTCCACCTGAGAAGATTGTCCTTGATCGCTTTCATGACCGGGTCGCGGTCGGCGTGCGACATTTCGAGTGTCCTTTCGACCAGTAGCGCGCTTCGGGGATGCTGCGGTGGATTTTTCGTTCGCGGTTTGCAATTGACGGGCTGGATGTTGCTTGAATGGTTAGGTTTCGGTCGGACGGAACGGGACGCACTGGACGATTCGTGTTTGTTCACACGCACGAAAGCGCCGCCACCTCGACCGTGTTCCTTCCTCTCATCGTCACGAATTCCGACGGAAGCGACAGAATAAAAGCTTGCCGCTCGCGAGAGTGGTAAATTGTGGGAAGTGATGGTCTTCGAGGGATTTTTCTATGTCGGTGAGTTAAATTCGTGCGAGTCTGTGTCGGACAGCCAGATTTTCTGATACCCGGCGGAAAATGCTCGCGGTGATAAAGCTCCTCGCGCGACGGGTCACTCGCTCGGTTAGTTCGGCTTCTTGATTTAACCGAGAGATATATCACGTCCGAGGAAAGAAAGAGAGAGCGCGTTACAAAATGTAAGTTGTAGTCGCGACGATTGCCACGGAACCGGTGATATTTCTGGGCCGCTTATTGAGATCCGCGAGAGAACGCCCCGGGAGTCGCGAATAATAGCGGAGAGAGCGAGAGAGACCGACGGAAAACGAGTTTAAAAAGGTGGAAGGAGGGGAGGGGGAGAATAAGATAACCCGGTATTATCCTGGGAGCGAGTTCTAGCCGAAAGTCGTGCCACTTCATTATCTGGATTCGGCGCATTTAATCGCTCTCGCGTCGACCGGAATAATTAATTAGCTGTCGAGACGGCGGGGTAACTTTGCCAACGTTTATCTCGAGGCGCTTAAACAATGTGAAACATGGAAAATCTCCTCGCCTTAACTCGCCGTCTTATTTAATCTGCCACGTCAAATTGATAATGCGGCGTGAAGTCGATGTTAAATAGACAAACCGTAAGAAGCGCGACGCGTAAAGTCGATAGCGCAAGCTACAATGAATTTTCAAGCGTGTTCGGCTTACCCCTTGGTTTTAATCAAATAAATAAGAGGCTCTATTGATATATCATTAATGATACTTACGGGCTAACGAAACACTATACAATTACTTAATTAAATTGCAGTATGTTAACCGTGCATAGATTCTTTTATTAGGCTATAAACGTTATATAAATATTATAATTCCTTAATTTTATTTTACTCACACACGATTGATTACTCGAGATTTATTAAAATTTAATCACTGAAATCAATTTTACAACATACATATTGCAGTAAACTTCTAAACAACACTAAAAAATATTTTCTTTGAGATCTCCGAAAATATTTCTTTTACTATTATTTTCAAATTTTCTCGAACATCAGCCGAAGAGGGGACTTAATGCGAACACCGCGACAGGCGGGAATATTTATATCGCGCCACCTCGAGTCCACCGACACGCACGCACGCCCGTGTTTGTCGCGCGTTTTCTAATTTTTAATAATGTCGATTATATGTAAAAGATATTCGTCTCTCGTCGTTCTCGTCGTCTAATTATGCGGAGAATGAGAACGACGTCATGGCGACGGCGTCGGCGTCCGTTGTCCAAAAAAAATATATGGATCATTTATGCAAAAATATATGGGCCTGGACGATTATTCTTTCGGGCGGCCGCTTTGGATAACCACTTAAGTTACCTAGTAAATCCTTTGACACATTCGGAATCTGCGATAACTGTTCAGAATATGTTCTGTTCTTGGACCCGTAAACCGGCTGTTTCTACATTAGCTTAAATATAAACATTGACTATTTAGTCGCCGCAAGTTGGTGCAAAACATCGATAATTGTGCATAACATCAAAACATTTAAACGTCTAGACATTTAAGTTATTTTCTAAATCGAACACAGTTCGATTACGCGATTAAAGTTACTGTACACACAGTTGACAGAAACGCACAAGCATCTTAAGATTCGCTAGGCCGGGACACGAACCCGGGACTGTCGCTGGCCGGACTGTTGATCTAGATCATCGATCTATCCACTGATCTATCCAGGCCCTCGAAGAGATACTCTTTCGTTTGCGTTTCTCTCTTATAATATGATGTTTACGCTTTCATTCGTAAGTCATGAGGTAACTATGACATCATTAGGTCTGAATAACACAACACTGGGAAGAAAGAGGACTTGCGTTCCGCCGCGCTAAGACTCATGGCGACATCATCTCTCTTTCTCTCTTTCGAACATTTTGCAGGTTGACTTAACAAATAAAACTTTGCGTTATATCGTATTGGGACGTTGCACAATGTGTGCCTAAATTAACTTGGCATGACAATGTCCTTTTTATTAGAGAGATAATCCTTTTAAATATTTATCAAGAGATTTGGCTCGATGACGTTACGTATTCATCTTCTGAATGACTCAGTAGCACCAGAGTGATTGAAATAAATGTTCCTGATTCAATAGTAATATTGTTGAAACCATTCTGTTTTTTTCTCTTTAAACATATTTTTTTACATCTTTGCTTAAAAACGAGTCTTCTAATTTTTAATAATGTTGACTATATGTAAAAGATATTCGGTTGCGTTCCTCGTCGCTCTCGTTGTCTATTAATGCGAAAAATGTGAGCGACGTCATGGCGACGGCGTCGATTGTTTACGCAAAAATATATAGACCGTTTTTGAAAAAATATATGGGCCTGGATGATTCTTTCGGGCGACCGCTTTAGATAACCACTTAAGCTACCTAGTTAATCCCTTGACACATTTGGCATCTGCGACTTTTTTATATGACAGTTATTGTATCATCGGCGCTCCATTTTCCCCACAATTACGGAGAATATCAAAGATATTTAAACACCGAGATTTAAACATCCAGATAATTCAAACTACTTTACAAATGGAACATTTAGTTCGATGTCGCAATTTAACTAATTGTAGGCAGTCGACAGAGATCTACTAGCATCTCAAGATTCACTAGGCCGGGACTCGAACCCGGGACTGTCGCTGGCCGGATTGTTGATCTAGATCATCGATCTATCCACTGATCTATCCAAGCCCTCGAAGAAATGCTCTTTCGTTTACGTATTTGTCTTATAATATAATGTTTTCGCTTCCTTTCATAAATCAGGTGTCTATACCAACATTATGTCCGAATAACACAACACTGGGAAGAGAGAGGACTTGCGTTCCGCTGCGCTAAGACTCGAGGCGACATCTCTCTTTCGAACATTTTGCAAAGTATGTGCCTAAATTAACTTGGCATGACAGCGTCCTTTTTATCAGAGATAAAATCCTTTCAAATATTTTGCAAGAGATTTGGCTCGATGACGTTACGAATGCATCTTATGAATGACTCAATAGCGTTAGTGTGATTGAAATAAATGTTCCTGATTCAATAGTAATATTGTTAAAACCATTCTGTTTTTTTTTTCTTTAAACATATTTCTTAGCCTTGCTTAAAAACGCGTCCTATAATTTTTAATAATGTCGACTATATGTAAAAAATATTCGGCCAAAATATTCCTCGTCGTTCTCGTCGTCTAATTATGCGGGGTATGAGAACGACGGTGTCGGCGTCCGTTGTTTATGCAAAAATATATGGATACTTTATGCAAAAATATATGGACCTGAATGATTATTTTTTCGGGCGACCGCTTTGGATAACCACTTAAGCTACCTAGTTAATCCCTTGATACGTTCGGCTTTATGCGACTGTTTGTTTATTGCTTCTGTGATACACGTTTTGAATTGCCCCCCCAAGTGGGAGAACATCTTAAAATCTAACATTCAGTTGAGCAAATTTCTATTTACAAATCGGACATGTCCGATAAAGCAATCGAACGTGTCCGACATCGCGATTAATCTAGACAGTCGCGGAGACCTACAAGTGTCTCAAGATTCGCTAGGCCGGGACTCGAACCCGGGACTGTCGCTGGCCGAATTGTAGATCTAGATCATCGATCTATCCATTGATCTACCCAGGCCCTCGAAAATATGCTCTTTCGTTGGCGTTCTTCTCTTATAATATGATGTTTACGCTTTCTTTCGTAAGTCATAAGGTAATCATTAAGTCTGAATAACACAACACGGGGAAGAGATAGGACTAGCGTTTCGCCGTGCTAAGACTCGTGGCGACATCTTTCTTTCTCTCTTTCGAACATTTTGCAGGTTGACTTAATAAATAAAACTTTGCGTTATATCATACTGGGAGGTTGCAAAGTGTGTGCCTAAATTAACTTGGCATGACGGCGTCCTTTTTATCAGAGATAAAATCCTTTCAAATATTTTGCAAGAGATTTGGCTCGATGACGTTACGAATGCATCTTATGAATGACTCAATAGCGTTAGTGTGATTGAAATAAATGTTCCTGATTCAATAGTAATATTGTTAAAACCATTCTGTTTTTTTTTTCTTTAAACATATTTCTTAGCCTTGCTTAAAAACGCGTCCTATAATTTTTAATAATGTCGACTATATGTAAAAAATATTCGGCCAAAATATTCCTCGTCGTTCTCGTCGTCTAATTATGCGGGGTATGAGAACGACGGTGTCGGCGTCCGTTGTTTATGCAAAAATATATGGATACTTTATGCAAAAATATATGGACCTGAATGATTATTTTTTCGGGCGACCGCTTTGGATAACCACTTAAGCTACCTAGTTAATCCCTTGATACGTTCGGCTTTATGCGACTGTTTGTTTATTGCTTCTGTGATACACGTTTTGAATTGCCCCCCCAAGTGGGAGAACATCTTAAAATCTAACATTCAGTTGAGCAAATTTCTATTTACAAATCGGACATGTCCGATAAAGCAATCGAACGTGTCCGACATCGCGATTAATCTAGACAGTCGCGGAGACCTACAAGTGTCTCAAGATTCGCTAGGCCGGGACTCGAACCCGGGACTGTCACTGGCCGAATTGTAGATCTAGATCATCGATCTATCCACTGATCTACCCAGGCCCTCGAAAATATGCTCTTTCGTTAGCGTTCTTCTCTTATAATATGATGTTTACGCTTTCTTTCGTAAGTCATAAGGTAATCATTAAGTCTGAATAACACAACACGGGGAAGAG